GCTAAACAGAAATGTGTCCCTTTGCACAATCAAACACTGACAAATAAGAGAGCATGACACTATGATTTCTAGAGCTGATATAGGGCAATTTGTTCAGCAGAGTGATGTAAACTTTGTTATGATTGCATCATCCAGGACTTCTAGGAATAACATGATGCAATTCATATCATGTATGACGCAATACCAGCCTCAGATTGCATCATTCATTGTTTTGCCTAAAAAGCAAGTACTGTCCAAACCCAGTCATAGATTTAGTCATAGATCCAGTCAAAGATGTATTTTAGTCATTTCTGGTTTAAATTGAGATCCCTTCCCTTTGTAACTCACTTATCCTCCACCATTCCCAAGTCAAGGGTCGTATATACTGACCCAATAGCATATCTTGAAAACTAGAGCCATCAACAATTTTAAGCATCATTTTCATTCTCAGTTACCCAGAATTAGTAAAGTTTGACTACATTTATTTCAGAAGCATTTCAGATTACACTGCTCTACTTTACTGTAGAGCAGTGTAATCAGCAGCCAGGCGATTTGCCTCAGCCTCCCACCCCGCCATAAAGGTCTCCCCCTTACTTTCACAGAGATTGTGGAGCACACAGCAAGCAGCAATAACAATGGGGATATTGGTTTGGCTGAGGTCTGAGCGAGTCAGTAACGAGCGCCAGCGACCTTTTAAACGTCCAAATGCACATTCTACCACCATTCTGCACTTGCTCAGCCTGTAGTTGAAGAGCTCATGACTCCTGTCCAGGCTGCCTGTGTATGGCTTCATGAGCCATGGCATTAAGGGGTAGGCTGGGTCCCCAAGGATAACTATAGGCATTTCAACATCCCCAACGGTTATTTTCTTGCATCAAAGCAGCCCCCACAGTAGATTTGCCCACTCCAAATTGATTCCCGACTGACTGGTAGCTGTCTGGCGTTGCAAGCTTCCACAGGGCTATTGCCACTCGCTTCTCAACTGTGAGGGCTGCTCTCATCTTGGTATTCTGGCGCTTCAGGGCAGGGGAAAGCAAGTCACAAAGTTCCATGAAAGTGCCCTTACGCATGCGAAAGTTTCGCAGCCACTGGGAATCGTCCCACACCTGCAACACTATGCGGTCCCACCAGTCTGTGCTTGTTTCCCGGGCCCAGAATCGGCGTTCCACGGCTATAACCTGCCCCATTAACAGCATGATCTCCAAAGCACCGGGGCCCATGGTTTGATAGAATTCCATGTCCATGTCCTCATCACTCTCACCGCCGCGCTGCCGTAGCCTACTCCTCGCCGCCTGGTTTTGCATGTTCTGGTTCAGCATAAACTGCATGATAATGCGCGAGGTGTTTACAATGTTCATGACTGCTGTCTTGAGCTGAGCGGGCTCCATGCTTGCCGTTGTATGGCGTCTGCACTGTTCACCCAGGAAAAAGGCGCAAAACGGTTGTCTGCTGTTGCTTCCCTGGAGAGGGGGGAGGATGTACCCAGAACCACCCGCGACAATGTTTTTGGCCCCATCAGGCACTGGGATCTCAACCCAGAATTCCAATGGGCGGAGGAGACTGTGGGAACTATGGGATAGCTACCCACAGTGCAACGCTCCGGAAATCGATGCTAGCCCCGGTACATGGACGCACACCACCGAATTAATGTGCTTAGTGTGGCCGCATACATTCGACTTTATACACTCTGTTTCCAAAATTCGGATTATATAAATTTGGATTAATTCCGTAGTGTAGACATACCCTTGGAGATTTACTCCTTCCCTCCTTCTGCTTAGAGGCAGATGTCAATGAGGACTTTGATACCATAGATGTACTTGGTGCTGTGTTACTGCATACATCTCTACGGGTCTCTGGTGATTGAGATTTTTATGTGGACAAGGCACTAGCAGAACTGGGAGTGTATGTACACAGTGGTCCTCCACCCTGAATCCAAAGATGACTGTAAATCTTGCTCCATCATTAGAAGTTTAAATTTGATCTCTCTATTTTTCCAGGATGAAGAAAGTACAGTTCTTGCACTTACTGGAATATACATATCACCCAAACAGAGTTAAGGTGAAGCAGGGGATTGGGGTGCAGGCAGGGGGCTCCAGGCAGGGGGTTGGGGTGCAGAAGGGGTGTGGGATGCAGCAGGGGGCTCAGGGCAGGGGGTTGGGGCTCAGGGCAGGGGGTTGGATGCAGGCAGGGGGCTCAGGGTATGGGGTTGAGGTGCAGGCAGGGGGCTCAGGGCAGGGAGTTGGGGGGCGGGGTGCAGGAGGGCTTCGAGCTCCGGGGTGGCAGCGGCACACACCGGGGCCAGGGCAGGCTGCCGGCCCCGGCCCCGCTCTGGGAAGTAGCTGGAACCACGTCCCTGCGTCCCCTGGGGGAGGGGCACGCAGGGCTCCGCATGCTGCTTGCCGCGCCTCCAGGTACCTCCCCCAAAGCTCCCATTGGCTGCAGTTCCCCATTCCCGGCCAATGGGAGCTGCGGGGGGGCGGTGCCTGGAAGCCAGGGCAACACATGGATGGAGCCCTCTGCTTCTTCTCTCCCCCCCCCCCACCCCCCGCAGGGGCGTGATGCCAGGGATCGAGGGGGTCAATCCCGTGGGTGTAGTTTGCCCACCCCTGGCCTGGAGGTAGGCTGGGGGGGCGGGCTGCATGCGGCCTGCGGGCCGCGTGTTTGAGACCCCTGATCTAACTAAATCTGAAATTAATAAAAATTGTAATATTTTTAAGAAAAAAGAAAAGAAAGGGAACTGTTCCAACAAGTATAAACACTGTAAGTGACTAACTATATGCTAACAATTGCTGAAATATTAGAGAGAACAGGCACCTGGAGACTGTCTCATGCTGAAGGCAGTTGAAAAGGATCTGAGGGTGGTTTGCCTGCACTGTCGCATATAGCCTCAGCACAGGGCACAAGGATGTGTGGAGCAAATGCATGGGCACTGGCAGGACACTACTAGAAGAAGAATCCTAAAAAACCACTAAGCAGCATTCATTTTTACATTCCAAACCATTAAGGAATCAGTGATTGTAAAAGGTGTCCAAATGAGCATGCTGATTCCTGAAGTCATCTACCCACAGTGCAGTTAACAGCATGGCCAGCAGCAGTGCAAGTTTCCCAACACTTAATTAGGAACATACCTCAAACCAGACCTGGAGGGACTCCCACTGTTTCAACCACGGTACCAATTAGTGACAACTGTCATTGTGGGTTGCTGAGTCTTTGCCCCCGGGAACAAGAATGACACCAACAATTTGTTTCACACAAGCTATAGAACAGCTATCAGATGGTAACAATTCCATTTCTTAGTGTTTATATTTTGATTCATATACTCATCAAGTGTGCTGTTTCTAGTAAAGGAATCTTATAAACCTTCATTTCTAATGGTATCAAAGCAAATATTACCCCAAACATATTTCATTTGGGTCAACTGTTCCAAATGACAATAAGGGTTGTGTATATTGTATTATCTGAAGGGGTTCTGAGAAACTTGCCTTGCTAAAGAAAGGACATTCCACATTTTTTTTTATTTTATTTCCTTCATTCTTATGCTCCACTTTGTCTTCCATAATAAGGCAACTTTTGTTCAGTCTTATCTGCAATCTGCCTAAGACTACTTTCCAATATTTTTGAAAATTACAATTTTTGCTTTCTAAAACCCATTTAAAAAAACCACTCTCTCTCTGATTTGGCTTGTCCCGCTCTCCCCTTTTCTTTTTACTCTACTTTTTAACTCAGCTGTCCATCTCTTCTCCATTTTCCATGTAAATCAATCCCTTCTTCTCCCAGGCTCTCCAAACATATGCCAAATATTCTCATGTCACCAGTTTCCATGGTTCTCCTTCACCCTGGAAACCCAACAGTCCCTATCCTTGATCTCCCAGACAGCTCAAGAGCCAGTCTGCATCCTTATCTCTGTCTTTCTTTACACAACTGTGGGTCTTTTTTCCTCCTCCTCCAACAAAGTTTCAGGTTCTTACTTTCTTCCCTTTCCTTGTCATCCAGTTCCCACAATTCTCTCCCCATTCTCAGATCTCTATAGCATGATGGAGGGAAGAACTGTACTGAATCCTATTGAGTCCCTTGCATAGGGACAGAAGAGGAAGTAGTATGTCAATCAATGTGTTGCTTGCTGCTGCTCAGATTTGGCTGGGAAGGCACAGCAAGCATGACATTAGGAAGTCTCAGCTAAAGGCAGAGAACCTTTGTTATGGAGAGAGATGGAGGTTTTTATTAAAATGAGATAAAAGCCTGAGCTGTGTCTATACTAGTGCTTCACTCTGGAAAGCAGTTTAACATTTTTCTAGTGTAGATATACTAAAAGAACAGGGCTGATGGGCTTGGAAGGGAGCACATCCAGCCCTGCTTAGCTGGAAGACAGGCTTTTGTAATGCAGAGCTTTTGAGGGAGCTGAGAGCAACAGCAATGTAGGAGTGATATATGGAAGAGTCCAATAGCACCTCGAAGAAAAGAAAACACAGGGAAGAACCACAGAGAGAAAGATGGAAGAAACTGAAAAAAGACTGCTAGACAAAATGCACAGAAACAATAGAAGAGAAGAGAACAAAACCCAGACATGGTGATGTATTTTTATAAAAGTACATTATGTAATCTGGTGGATGGATGTTAGCTTCTGACCTAATTAAAAGGTGGTAGTTTACTCGACTGAAAAAGCCTCAAAAATAAAGCCTCCTCTCTAAAATTTTGGGCCCCATCTGTTAAGAGTAGTTTGACAGGAAATCAACATTTTCCCTGTTTTCAGACAAAGAAAACTAAAGCCTTGTACAAGGAAGCTAATATACAATATACTTTAAATTATACCACACTACTCTGTGACCTTGGACAAGTCACTTAATATTTCTGTACTTCATTTTACTCATTGGATACTACTACTTGCAATCCTCACAGATATACTGAGAGGTTTAATTTTTGTCAAATACTCTGAGAGTCTTTAGGGGAAATGCTCTCTTTTAAAGGGCTAAATATTAAGCAAATTAAACCCTATATGTACATATCAAGAAGGAGAGACTTACCTTTTCCATAGAAGAACTTCCGGTAATAATATGCTCCAAGATCAATGTGTTCTATAATATAACGTTTAACTTTCTCCCGGTGAACTGACTGATTCTCTCTTGGCACCTCCAGTACAGAAACACCAGCATTCGTGCAGTGGGAACTTAGAGAGGATTCAAAGGAACAACTTTCACCTGAAGCAAAAGATGCAGAGTTTGCCCTGGAAAGTGCAATCCTCCTATCTCCTTCTCCACCAGTTTCATTCCTGAAGTAAGGGCAACTCAGGATTAGGTCATTGCTTTTCCCATCACCCTCATCAGCATCTAGGTTTTCTTTTGAATTGAGGTCCTCTTTACTTCCCAAAGGAGATTCACAGTTTCCAGTCTGGCCTGCTGTCATTTGAGTTTGCGATGCAGCTGAAGCCCCAGTGGTTATATTTTTTCTTTTTCCCACATTAACCCTGGTAGCCATTGCTTCATTTATGTTAAATAAAATGCTCTGAACATCATAATGTGCAAAACATTTTTGACAGTTCCAAGGACGAATGTTTCTCTCAAATCTACCATCATCCAGTTCTGAGGAAAATTTGAAAGTTTCATGCTCACTTTTAACAGTTCTCAGTTTTCTAAACAGAGATGTTTCTACTGCTTCTGATTTTAGTCTCCATTTGAAAGATTTGTCCCTGTCTCTACCAATAAGCAGGGCACTATCCATATAATCCAATCCAGAAATCCTGACAAATTCTCCCCTGGAAATCTGTGTGGCAGCATGAAGACTTGGAGAAATTGTAGGGTCACAGCGGAAAAACTCGGGAAATCCAAATGGAGCAAGAGTTTTATGTTCAAAGTTTTCCACTCGATATCCTCTGAGCATTGCAAAAAAATTCTCACCAGTTAAACCTTGCCTGTCAATTGAAGAAGTACTTCCATATTCTCTATGAAGAGCTGCTCCTGTATTTGGGTTAACAGCATTCTGGTCCAACACATCTTCAGCATCAATGTCACTAATGGTGACATCACTGTTGCTTCTTTGTCTTATGGGATGAAGTCCCCTCTGGGGCGAATGGACAAAGAGATCTCCTATTGTATATTTGGTCTCTTCAAATTCCAAATCCAACTGCTGTTCTTGTTGCCCATCACTTTGGTCATTTTGTCCATTTGGAATTACTGATCCAACACTCTCATAACTGGTTTGAGGTCTACTTTCCCATACTGCTTTACTTAGTTCCTTAGAGCAATCCTTTTTAGGAGGCCATTCAGATACCCTCGCTCGGACACCCATTTTAGGCATAGCTGGTGTACCATTAGTTTGATTACTTTCATTTTTGCTAGATGTATTTAAAGAAGCAGGAGGACCCACGTTACCATTTAAAGCTTTAAATTTTCTAGCAAAGTAGTCATCGGACTGCATACTTTTTGAAGATTCCTTGAACTTTGAGGACGTTCGGCTGGGTTTGTGCTTATCTTCTTGTGAAGACCTTTGATCGCTCATGTCCACTCAAGGGCAAAGAAGTACCTAGTCTTACCTCCAAGACTGGTATTACTGTTATTACATTATCATCACATATGGAACAGAGAATTGCAAAATAAGACAACTACTGTCTGTATCAGAGCATAATGGTATCAGAGTGCCATTTTTGTTAAAAAAAATATATCAGAAAAAGAGGTCTTCATAATATTTCCTTCAGTTTAGAAGTGTTCAATCTGATATCAATCCAGGTATATTCCTTGTACCTGTTCTGAAAAAGAAAAATGTACATTAAAATGATATACATTCAAGAGCAGGAAGTCTACAGTGTTACTTGTAAATATAAAACATCCTAAACACCATTAGTGGTCCATATATTCTCAAAGGAACTCAGATACAAACATACTGAGAATATTATAAATTATGTAGTCAGAAAGGTAAAGATAGAAGTATGTTCTGATTTGCACTACTCAGCAACCAATGAATTAGCCCAGTAATATTTGTAATGCTAAAGGTATAGAATATGTAAGATCAATCCACAGATTGTTATTAACGTATGGAAGAACTTATCTATAAACATAACATAAGCCACTACAGTTAACCAATTTAAATCCACTATTAATACATCCCTGCCTAATTAATTTAAATCTGCAATAGATTACAGACCTATTCCATTTGTCTTCTTTTCCTACTTTCATCTCAGTATCTTTCTCAATACCGTCCTAATGCATGGAATGCCCTCTTCATCCCAGTTTGCCAAAATGACTCTCCATATTCAAGCATCTCCTGAAAAGTCACTTCTGTGATGCTCATATGAACAGAGTCAACAGTAATACGGAAATCAGAAGGCATACTCTTCAAGTTACTCTCTACTGTAGGTTTTCCAGTGCAACCTCCTTTTTTGTAGGTCTATGAAAACAAAGCCCTTTGGGGCAGGGACTGCGCTCAGCCAATATCATCACTCAGAAATGCACTTGTGGGTACATCTGCTAAAAACTAAGGTCTGGTCTATTCTAAAATATTGGGTCAGTTTAATTACGTCAGTGAGAAGTGTGAAAAATCCATGCTCTTGAATAGCATAGTTAAGCCAACCTAAGTTCCTGTGTAGTCAGAGCTAAGTAGATGGAAAAATTCTTCTGTCGACCTAGCTACCGACACTCGGGGAGATGGATTACATACACCAACAGGAGAACGCCTCCCATCTACACAGGCAGTGTCTACATTGAAGCACTACAGCAGCACAGCTGTGCCACTGTAGCATTTTAAGTGTAGACGAGCCCTCAGTGTTGCAATTTCATGGATGATAGACTGGAAGAATCCATAGGTGATTCTGTCCACTGGTACAAAAGATTCAGTAAAATTTAGTCTGATCAGGAAATACATTCAGTTAGTGATTAGAGCTGGTTGGAACATTTTCAGTGAAATTTCATTTAATTGAAGCCAAAACACTCCAAACATCATGGAGATGTATCAGTTTCAACCAAGTTTAAAGTACATGCTCTCCCTGGGTCAGTCATCTGGAACAAAAAAACTCTTCTCAATCAGATAGAGCAGGGACTTGAATCAGGGTTTCCCATAACCCACACCAGTGCTCTAACCACCAGGCTATCGAGTCAGAAACCTTCCCAAATTGGAAAGCTCAAGCTTCTGTCTGAAATGGACATTTTGACACAATTCTGTTTACGAAAAATGTTTGAAAGGTTATATTTTTCTTCAAAATGCAGAATGAAAACAGTTTCAAAAACTCAAATGTTGCTGCAAAACAGAATGGTCTTCCTCCAGCCAGCTCAACTAGTAAATGTCTATTAAATTGTGGAACAGTCTTCCCACAGATGTGATTTAAAACTATGCTGGACAAGAACATAACATAACATATACTGTAAGGAACAATCCTGTGGTGCTAGTGTTTAAAATCTTCTATTCTAAAGGTCTCTTTGGCTCTAATTTCTATCTTACTTCTATATGGCAATATTTCTGTTTCATTTACTCTGAATTATAGTACACTTGAATAATCCTTGAAAGTGAATTGCAAGGATTTTGTTCCAAACATTTTACAGTTAAATATTCCAGTTGTATAGCAGAAAATATGTAGTCACTTCAAATTTACAAGTACTAATGAAAACTAGGTCTTTCTTTGAAGAGGGAGGGTGCGGGGGCACAGAATTTTGAATTTGGGACTTGCCAGTTAGGCAAACAGTGATGATATTGCAAACACTGTAAACCATGCTGGAAAGTAAAAAAGAGTCCCAGCGGAAACTTAAAGGCAAAACCACTAGGCAGATCTCTAGACAAGGAAGAGAGGAGAACTCCAATTAATGTTTTTTTTTTTAAATGGCAATTCCTTTCATTGTAATGCATCTAGGAAACAGCAGTAAGGTACTGCATGATTTCCTTCTATTTTACTGTTTGGAGGATTTACGTTACTTCATTCTTAATCTCACTGCAGAACAGCTGTAACTGGAGCATATTCTCTTTTATATTTCGCTGCTTGCTAATCTAAGAGGCTACAGCTACTATGCTAAAGAACGACATGCTGGTTGCTTCCCACAACAACAACAACATGGCAGCCAAGTTGGCAAACGTTAATTCAGTCAAACATTGAATTACTAGAACACTAAAATATTTTTCAATTGTTTTTAATAGTTTTCAGGATAATCATGTAGAGGAATGTGCACAGGGTATGCACATCCATCTGCAGCCATGTCCAGTGCTTTCCTCCCATTGCGAAAGATCAGTTTAAGGGTGAGGCAAGATTGAATGTTATCTACTCCCACGGCAGCTTTTCTTCTTTGGGCAGTAAGAGAGAATGTAATGATCTTTCAAGATGCTTCAAATACGGATCTGCACATTTAGGGCAGTTTTACACTGAAAGCGTCCCGTAGTTCAGTGAAGTTAGTTGGGTGGAGGTAAGAGGAGGGCAGAGAGGAAAACATTTCTTTCCTACCTATATCACGAAAAAAGTATTTAAAAATATTATTGGGGGAAAAGATTAAACTTAAGCTTTACAACAGGACTTTTTTCTTCCATGTCTGGAGGAACACGGGAACCTGAACTCAAGCTTTGCCTGGTATAGCAAGTCTGAAGCCCATTGTATATCAACCTTAGTTAGTTAACAGTGTTTAGCGTGCATAATCAGTCTTGCACTTGAAACTGTTTCCATTTTGCTGCACAGCAGAAAACAGGCCAAAAACATGTTAAGAACATGCTCTTCTTAAGGAACAAAAAAAGTTGTGTTCCAGCCTAAGACCTTAAACACAATACCTACCTGTAGGTTAAAGCAAAAAAGTTTTGCATGCCCACAGTGATCAACCAAACTGTTTAAATGTTAGTTTGCATGGAATCTGATTAAAATATTTTTAAAATATGACACATGGGATCTTTAAATATATTTTTAAAGCATTTTACATTCCTTTGGTAAAAATAAAACGCAAGTAGGAAAATATCTTGTGGTATATCTAACTTTTGGGAAAAATTACTATTACAGAACTAAAGCACAAGAAAGAGTTTCTGTATGAATTATGGTATCATGTAAACTACTGACAGTAGCAACTAATAGGTGTTTCTTCATATTCTTCAAAGAGTTTTCTCCAGATGTCAACTAAAGTGATGTTAGAGGATTGGAGGTCCCCCCTCTCAGAGAAAAGCAATCAAATAAGACTAAGACATCCCATCATAACCCCTCTACCTACTTTGCATTTTGCAACTACTTAAATAGTATTCCAAAAACAATTTTGCATATCTGGAATGATATGGAACTCCACTTATGCTGTGAAGATTAATTCTATTTTCTTTGAAGTGGCTGTAAATTATGTTTTTCACACTATCTATCCAATTCACACATAAAAAATGGAAAACCATTCATCAAAATCTATTCAACCTAGTTTTTTGAAGGGTATCACAAATATTTTTAAATTGTCATACAAACTAAATATAAATATAAAATGAGAAAAGACTATGCTGTAATACTCCCATTCTTCTCTTTCCCAGCAAGAATTAGGAACGGAGAAATTCCTACATCAGATCAGAGCAACAGGCCATCAATTACAGTATCGTATATCTGACAATGGCCAGTACCAGGTGCTTTAGAGAAAGGTGCAATTTTCCACTACTGTGCATAATTTTGGAATAAACTGCCCCTGGGGAAGCTGTTTCCTATGTCCCATAAGTTACTGGTGGTTTAAATACCCTGAAACAAAGCTTTAAATACCTCCCTATATAAAAAAAAATTTAAATGGCTGTCATCCTAGCTCATGTAACTATGTAATTTCTTGTTATACATATAAATGGATAATCCTTTTTTAAACAAGCCTGTTTAGTCTTCAAGGATATCTTGTAGCATTGAGTTCCACTAGTTAATTATGTATTATGTAAAAATAGGTATTTCCTTAAATCATTTTATATATATTATCTTTCAATTTCATTAGCTAGTTCCTTGTTATTGTATTATGAGAAAAAAGTAAAGTAGTTGTTCCTATTTACTCTTTCTATAACATCTGTTGCTAACGTCGTGTCAACTTTTATTCATCTCCTCTGTAAACTGAACAGTCAAAAATGTTTCAGTCTCTGCTCATATGAAAGTCTTTCCATTTGTCTATTTAGAATAGAAGCTCTTCTGGGCAGGGACAGTCTTTTCGTTATGTTTGTATAATATGCCTAGTACAATAAGGGAGGGGTTTCTAGGTACTTCTGCAATACAAATAATAAAATCATCATCAGATCATGCCTCTCATCTAATTTAGCTAGATCTTTTTTGTATAGTGACCAGAACTGGACGCACCATTTCGGGGAAGGGGTATAATTGATTTGTATAAAATAGCATTATAATCTTTTCTGTAATATTTTCATTGCATTCCTTGTACTCCCCCAACAATGTTGGCTTATTTGACTGCCACTGCACATTGAGATGTCCAATGATGCCATGATTTGTCACATAGTTTCAATTAATTTAAAACCCAGTAATGTATATTAGTAGTCCAAGTCATTCCTTCCTGTGTGCAGTACACCTTGCATTTAACACAACAGAATTTCATCTGCTGTTCATCCATCTTTGTTACATCCCTCTCGTGTTCCCTACAGTCTTCTCTATGCTTCACTCACCTAAACAATTAAGTCACCTGCAAAGTTTACCACCCGCTTTGGTTTTATGTTCTTTTTGACTAGTTTCCTCATTTAAAAAAACAAACACCTTTTTAAAAGCTGAGTGTCACAGTACCCTCCCCCCCCGCCCCGACTATGTTAACTTTCTATGCCAGCAGTTTGCTTCCACTTTTTCTGCATATGCTCTTCCTTCCTCAAGACGTTTCCCAGCACCAGATAAATTTCTTGATGCATGAGGAAGTGATCAGCCTCTCTCTCTCTCTCTATGATCTCAACAACGGAAGTTTCGTTTCTCCATTCCAGCCTTATCCCCTCCTAGCAGATGCGTGACTTCCTTAAATGGAAGACAGAGAGTCAGTTCTGAACTGGGACAATTCTACTATGTCTGTATAAATAATTCTGTCTCCTTCTGCCCTTTTAGTTCAAAAACTAGTAAATGCACCATGGGATCCCATGGTGTTGATGCTCCATGCTCTCCATCACCTGAGAGGCTTTGAGGCCATGCCTCCTGATCCATCTGATATCAACCTACAATTGTTGGAGGAAAGCATACTTCAAAAAGACTTGACCATTGTGGCAATTCTCTCTTCTTATGCTTCTCACATCCTTCCAGTTACACAGAAGGTATGACAACCCATTCTCAGGGAAACAAATATTTGTGTACACTCATTATTTTAAAGCAATAGCACATTGTATCCAGTGGTTTTTAAAAAAAAAAAAAACTCTTATTCCCTCCTCTGACTTATGAAGCGGTGAACACCTTAAAACTAGTGTATCGGTCGACCAAGGAGATGCCTAAATTGGCACTGAATTATTGATTAACACTTTATTGGAAACAGCAACATTTGGGGGAAAAACTGCCCTTATAAGAACCACTAAAGTGAAGGTATATGAACAAATAAGGCAGACCTTTTAAAAATCTATAGTTGGACTAATTTATATAACCTCTATTTTTAATATAGTCCAGTGGTTCTCAACCCATGGGACACTTAAGGCCCAATCACCACACAGCTGCATGTAGCATCCTCAGGGCAATACAGATAGTATATATATTGTGTGGATGCAGCCCACATAATACATAGAACACTGCATATGTCTGCCACAATGGTAAATAGGTTGAGAACCACTGATATAGGCTGTGTGTACATTTAGTAGTGAATATTTCATAGATTCATAATTCAGTAATACAGAAGATGCTCTGTTTGAAAAAGGATCAGATGACTAAGAGATTGTATTACCTTCTATGGCATCACTCCCCCTCTCCTACATTTGTTTTTCATCAATTGCTCTTTGCTCTATTTGTTCTTTCTCCACAAAAAAGAATTGGACAAAATAAATAGTCTACATACACCCCTCAGTTATAACTAATGCTTGCACCATTTATTATAAACTTGCTTTTGTTTGCGTTACAAGACATAACATTTAATAAAACAGATTTCCTCCCCCGCCCCACCCCCCAAAAAATACTTGTTAATACCTTCCTCATCCCTGAACACCCCACACACACTCCTTTAGGTCAAGTTCCTCACTTTTCCCTTTTTTCCTCCTCACCTTAGTCTTTCAGCTAGAGAGCCATTGCCAAACATGGTCAAAAGATAAAACTGAATGCCTACCCTGCTGTTGTGCTTGTGCCAATCCTCTGCACTAGGGCTGCTGGATGTTATGCAAATAACTTAAGTTCCTTCCACAGAGTTACAAAGACTTCCTTCTGAGCTCAATACAGCAGCTGGTTTGTTAGCCACAGTTTCAGTTCTCTTTAAGGTGGAATGTTTCCAAGTTTCCTGGGGACCTGGATATATGCCCACAAATGGTCCCGTGCCAATAACAGAGCAATGAATAAAAACTGTACTATTGGACTACCCTGTCAAAAGGAGGCTGCTTGGTAACCCTGCCTCATGTCAGCCTTGATAGACAGAAATGAATGATATAAGGGGCCTTTCTGAGATCATTTTGTTGATGAAGAAACTGGAAATCTGCCCCTATTATTAGAGAATTTTATCACCCTAAGAAGAATGCATAATTAATCTTTGTACTATTTATCAAGATTAAAATTCTAGAATTGTGATTCTGAGGCTGTGCTAATCTTAAAAAATGAGAAGTGCAATTTGATAAAATAGGAATATAAATGTGAATAATAGGCCAAATCTGATGGTCAGCCAGACATTTGATTTGCATTTGACTGATTCTACACAGCATTTTGCTATGAGTAATAAGAGTTCTAGTCAGCTTTCAGTCTTCAGAGTAACACATTTAAAGAGCACAGTGTTGTGTATTTTGCCAGTATAGTTAATGCAGCAGTAATACATCAGCTACTTTACAGCAAATCCATTTTTGGATGCAAGTTTGGCCTGGGACCCATCCTTCTATGACCTATGGAAATAATAGGGTGCAAAGGAAAAGAGGGGAGGGTCTATAAGCTACCTTTCTCCTCAAGAACTCTCAACTAGACAATTCACTGAGTAACATCAAGGTAGCTACAGTGTTAGTGGAAGAATACCTAAACTTTCAACTATTTAAGATAGCAGCACCTGTACAAAAATTGGCACAAGGAAAATATAGAAAACTTAATTTAGTCTTGATTTAGAATACCTTTCTAAATTAAATAATTTTCCATTTGCTTCTTCCCTCGTTTGTAAACCACTAATATTAAGAATCATTATATGGATGGAGTTCATCTGCTCCTATTGTTTATTCCTTAAAGCCAAAGACCAGATATTTTCAGCTCGGGATCCTAAATCAAAATGGCCTGGATTTTCAGAGGCACAGTGGAGGGTGTGGGTGCTCATTTAGGTGTTCAAATAGGGATTTAGGTGCCTAACTTTAGATATCCAAGTTGGAAAATCTTGGCCATACTCCTTTGTGTGATATCACAATCTCAAGAGCAGTTAATTGTGATATCACAAAGGATTATTATTCCAAATGAGGAATATGCAGGAAGAGCAGATGAACTCCTTTAGCAAGAGCCTGTTTTCATGCAAATGTCCTTAGAAAATGTGATTTTTAAGCATAATTGTCTTAAATAGAATGTTTTTCAAGGTTTTCCATGAGGCATCAGTAAATCTTTAAGGCTAACACTAACTATAATTGAGTCACTTATCTGGATTGCAGCTGTGGAAAAAGGACTGAAAACAGTACAATGCACAAATTATGAACCCAGTTCATGAAAAAATGGCTCAAATTATTATACATCAGATTTACAATAAAACTATAACTACAGTGTAAATGGTTACTTCTTATACCCATACTTCATGATTAATATGCAGATTTAGACAGGAGGCAGAAGAGACATTGGAAGCCCCTCATTTTGATTAATGGGGATACACATGAGTTTCTGTATACTGAGTATTTGTTGTGAACTTACTCATTTGTGCTCTTTCTTCACATGTATAGTCTTTGGTTGTAAGTGAACTGTAAGGGCAGAAAATGAAAAAAGCTTGCTGAGATCAAAAAACTATGATAAAATATCTAAAAAAATATTCCATTATATTACTGTTATTGTGTTAGATCAAGGCTTGGATTATTTGAAACAAGATTATAATTAAGCAATTATGCTAATACACTCTTGGAATGATTCTCCATTTACACTGATGCAAATCAGGAGCAATTCCTTTCATGTCAATGGAGTAACACTACCAGAAAACAGGTGTAAATGAATGGAGAATTAGACCTTATATTTGGTCTAATGGTCTCTTCCACTCACAGATAAATGCTAGAGACATTTATCTTAAAATAAACATTAAAGCAAAGCCACAGTATATAACCTTGAAGCTATACACTTTAACAATAAAATTTTGCCTAATGTAAGTGCAATTTCACAAAAGGTAAAAAAATAAATAAAGCTTTCTAAGTCAAAATTATGTTTCCCTTTGGTCTTGGAAGGAATCCAAGATGGCAATCACAATAACATCTATTGCAGCAGTTTTAGAAGATTTAAAAATAAAAAGCAAAACCATACAAAAACTCCTTATCTTTCCTATTAAACAGACTTATGGAATGGATTCCCTCCCTTCACTTAAGAAATCAAAGATGACAAAGTGATTTAGTGAGTACCACCTCCCAATTATTATGATCATCATTATTATGTCAAGATGCATTGCAATCAGTTATGAAGCACACACAAGTATAGTTTGCAATTAATCATTTTTTATTTATTTTGGATTTGGAAAGGTAACAAGGTACCGATCCCCAAACTCTTGGCACTTATTGACAGAGGTGCTTTTATACATTTTTTCTTGTCATTTCCCCAGAATAATCAACCTTAAATATTGTAGCTCAATTTGTACTTTGTTTCATCGGGAAATAATGATAAACTTTTCAGCAAGCAATTGGTATAGTCCCACAATTAACATTTCTACTTTACATTACTATCTTAATTAGCACAATGCTACATCAATTTAATTAAGAATATTTCAGAAACAGAATAAGGGTGCTAAAGAGACTTTTAATTTTAATATTTTTTTTAAATTTGCTGAAAGGAAAAAAGTTTATTTTAAATTTCAGAATCAATACTTTAGATTTTTCTTGGACTATTGACACCACTACCCTACTATTTTGCTTCAGCATTTTGATAAATGATACAAGTTTTGGCAGTTGGATATTTTAAGGCTAATCTGCTTTCTAAAACAAAGTAACTCTCCCACTGTTCTTATAGCTCTGTCAAAAATCAGCTCTATCATGCTATCTATGCCAAAGTTTGATTAAACGACCGAAGTTGAAAAGTGGACTGGGATATGACCTCACACAGGCTGGACTACATAGACGTGTAGGGTGAAATCCTGGCTCCACTGAAGCCAATGGCAAAACTCCCATTTACTTCATTTGGGCGATATTTTCATGCATCAACTTGCAATTCAGTTAGACTATTTTTAGTACATTTATGGAACCACACACACACACAGGAATTACAAGGTAAAGAACAGTATTAAAAGAATCATATCCTCAGATCAAGGGATTTTTCTGGGAGAAGGAAGAACAGCTGTGAATACTAACTGTTTCCTATTAAGCCAGAAGAAGAAAAAGTTGCCCTCCCACTATTTCTCAGATGATTTTAGCCAGCAAGTATTCATTTACCATGATTCATGAATCAAACTGCAGAAGGAAGTTATTTGCCTATAACCTGAGTTTTCAATATGAGCAGACAGTGCAGCTTCAGCCGATAGAAGTTTCTAGAAGCAGTGCTCATTGGAGCACTCACGCCCCCTCTAACCCTGCCCCTTCCTTCATGGCTCTCGACATTTGGATAGCAGAACTACAAAAGGACGACATGGCTTGCCGACCACCTTAGTTCCTTCCAGTCCCTCCTTGGGTTCAAAGTTGAAATTAGGACTCCAAGGAAGAAAAGAAAATGGGCAGGGGAGCATGAATGTGCAGAGGTTATTTCAAAGAACTACAGTTACATATAAACAACCTTCATTATTTCTTCTGCACATTTTCCACTCTCAGGATTTTAGCAAGCAGTATTCCTGCCTTCAGAGAATGGGACAAAGAGGCCTACTTAAACGGAAATTGTAATACTGCTTTACCAAATTGTACAGCTCTTCTAGATGCCACATCTGTGACACAGCATTGGTGCCAACTGGCAAAGGACTCACTGCTCTTTACAAGCAACTCCTGTCTCAGACAGGACAACCACACTCACCTAATACGCTGCTTTCATGGTATTTATCCATAAAGGGTGGGATGTGAGATCTCTACTGAAAGCTTGTTGCTCATCGATAATGTGAGGTGTGTGTACAGGTAATATTTAAGGCATAATGTAACAGTATAGATAATTATGCCCTTTATAAGTCTTGGAGCCAAAGTGAGTCACCAGGGTATCGTGTCTCAGGGACGACTCATTCTAGTGGGAAGGAGTTGTCACCCCCCCCCCCCCCCCCCCCCCCCCCGGCTAGCCAATTATGCAATGTATTGCTCAGTGGTCCACTGTTGCAACAACTGAGAAAAGTGAATGGAAAATCATCAAAGACAAGCTATAAACGTCAAAACTACTTGGCAGTGAAAAGGAACGATATGACAGCAAGGGGATGGCCCTGTCTGTGAACAAAGACAAAAGACTGAGTCAGTGCATCAGAAGGTGGAGAAAGACACACTACATTCATTCACTGAGGAGGTACCTTGAAACAGTGCAGGTGAAAGATCATGAAAGACTGGATCTAGCAAACGCTACAAAAGACAGAACTTTGGAGTGAGAATCTATTCTATTAGATAGGAATATGTGTATTCCCTACTCTCTGTTTCATGATTTTGTTTTGTATGTGACCATTTGTTTCTAAAACTCAATTATTTCTATTTGATTCTCTATTCTTTTCTTAAATAAATTTCCTTTTGTTTTACTATAATTGAACTCAAATGTTGTGTGTGATACAGAAGCAGCAGCCTAAGGTAAAACTAGTAAACTGGGGTACATTATTCCTTTGAATTGGGATCTAAGATTTCTGTGGGTATCCAGTGATCAGGGGCCAAAATCCACAGGGGGATACTTTGAAGGGACACAGGGGATGAGGTGCATATATTGTCAATTTCCAGGGCAAAGGAAGGGCTGGTATAGCCCAGAGGAGAGAGTGTGAGTGGAAGGCAAGCTAGTTGTGTTAGGGAGCTAACACTCAGCTGGCACAGGCAAGACTTGCTCACGCTGGAAGTGGCAACAAGGTGACTCCTAGCTCTGGGTGCCCCCAGAAGCAGCACAGAATAGTGCTTTGTGAACACATGAATCAACCTCCAAGTGATATCTCTACAGATTGCTAATATGGAATATGTCTAAAGTAGGTGGTGACAGTGGCTTTCGTTCTAGTTGAGTGCACTCCAAGCCCTCTGGAAGAGGAACAGAGGTATATTTATAACACACTTCCATATAGCTTAACCCCTTTAGAAAGGCATCGGGATAAAACTGCCTGCCCTTTATGCTTTTTCCCTCATAAGGAGACAAAGTCTAGGTTATTTCCTGTACTCCTCTCAGACCTATTGAAATAGGCTACTTCTGACTTAGCATTCAATATGTGTAGTTTAGCTCCCCAGGGGAGCAAGGCCTGCAGAAACATATGGACAACTTATGGCCAAGTTAAAATAGAATCCTGTTACCACCTTGGGGAGAAATTTCAGGTGTGGAGGAAGGATGTCATTTTCTACTGAGTTCTTCAGTGACCACTCAGGCTGACCATCTAACTCTCTGCTCATCTGATTTGTCAGCATATTGTCCTTGCCTGCAAGTTGGAAAGCTAATGGGTAAATTTGGTGTTAGAGCTACAGCTTCTTTGCACAGCTAGCTGAAATGTGCTTACCCAACTGTTCACGTAAAAACTGCTGTACAATTATCTGTAACTGCTTGAACCTAGAATTGTCAAATTCTTGTAATGAGCTTCCAAGCCCAGATTCACTGTGATGACAGTGACTGACTGAGCTAGGAGGTTGAATGCAACTCCTCTGAGAACTCTGTGATGTTGAGTATCACATAAGGAATAGGAACAGGAACACATCCTTGGGTAGTATCAATTTCATAAACATGCTTACTGTATTTGGAATATAGCGTCTTGCTAGCCAATGTAGTATGTGCCTCAACTGTAGATGTGCACACGGAATTACAGTGGTCACTGAAGTCATAAGGCCCATCAACCTAAGGAAGAACATTACTGTTTGACACAAGTTCTCTTGTACTACATCTATTGTTGTAAGCATTTTTAAATAGAAACTTTTCTTCTAGAAGAAAAGTTCTATCTTTTTGAGAATCCAGAACTATCCCAATAAAAGACATGACCTGGGTTGGTGCTATTTACACATTCTTTCAGTTTATCTGAACCCCATTATTTGGAACAAGGTAAATGTTTGTGATAGCTTTTGGCAGGCCCTCCTACGATGACACCTTGATGAGCCAACTGTCCACGTGGGGGTAAACCTGGATAACATAACAGCTCAAATGGCCTCCTACTGCTATGAGACACTTTGTGAATACTCAAAGTGCTGCAGATTGCCTAAGTGAAAAGACCTTATATTGGTAATGATCTCCACCCACAAGAAACTGAATGCATTTTCTATGCAAAAGTCTCATTGAGATGTGAAAGTAAGCATCCTGTAAATCAAGAGCCCCAAACCAATCATAAGTGAATAAGGAGGGGATGAGTGAGGCTAGGGTAAAGCATGGTGAATTTGAACTTTCTGATGAAGAGAGTTGAGCTTCTCAAGATCTAAAATGGGTCTGAGACCTCCATCTTTCTTAGGGCTCAGAAAGTATCTGGGGGAAAAAATTCCTTCTCTCAGATACCTTCAGGAATTTCCTTTATGGCACCAGACTCCAGTAGTGAGCAGACTTCTGATCTGAGCAAGTTCTTTCTTCTGAGGAGGAGGGTTGGTGGGAGGCAGGATAGTGTTGAACTGAATGGAGTAACCCTGCTGGACAATCTCCAAATTCCATTTAT